AGGATAAGTTCTTCCCTGCAGCTCTGCAGTCGCACGACTGCGTTGCGGGAGGCACTGGGAACAGCCTGGCACATCCTCCTCTCCACCCGCTCGGCCCTGGCCTCCCGCCGCTGCCATTACCACCGCAGCTGTTGCCACCACAGTTTTATGCACCCATTGAGACAGGCACTGCAAGTCACCATCTACTGTTTTATAACTGCATCTGGTGTGGAAGGAGCTTTCTGCTGACTGCTGTTTGCAACTGGCAAAAGGCTTCTGGAAAGGCGTTCAGCATCCAGCCCATTCCGGTAGCTGACATTTTAATTATGGCACAGGTGCTGTAGAAACAATGAGCCACAATCACTCATAAAACTGTACTCCACTTATTTCTTAGTTGTCTGTATCATACTATGAAATGAAACAGCCAGCGTTGTTAGAGGAATACACCATTTTTAAAGCAGTACTAACTCTCCTCTTTCATCCAATGGTCAGGCACATACTACTACAAAACAAAGCTTACTAACTTTCTCGGTTTTACTTTCTCATTCTTAGACAATAAAACCTTCCCTGCAAGATTGCTGCTTCCTATTTCTTTCCTTTTTTTTCTTTTATTTTTTTTTAAGACCTTGGCTGTTGCCAAGAAAGCATTGGAAAAGTAATTACTTGACATGACTGATGAAACAGACATGTTGCAGAATCAATTAACCCCCCTCCCCATCAGAAGAAAATAAAATGCACAGAAAACTCTTGTTCCACAGAGACATGAACTGAAGGTAGCAGGACATGAACTGAAGGTAGCAGGACTGGTTATATGTGACAATTTACAGTTCTCCAGAAATCAAGAATAAATTAAAACTTTCAAGTTATTGCCAGGCATCTCAGCTTTACTGGTAAGTGGGATGATGAGAGTTGAAGCAATTCTTTCTAAGAACTGTTTTTTATGGGCGGAATTGGGGCGGGGGAAGAAACATGTTTCGTAGCTATTTACCCCCACATGTTCTAGATGGGGATGAAGAAAGGTGGATAAAGTAAGAGTGGTGGGAACTGTTTGTCAACAAGTACACAGCATGCACAATAGTTAATAAAATAAATTATACACCACATTTTCTTTTCAAACAAGCTTTAAATAGTCCATATGTAACAGAACCATGTGTTACAGACAAGAAATTCTTGCTGCCAAAACACAGGAGGAGTGTTTTTTCCCATCATTCTTTCCGAATTACAGACTTAGGAGAAAATATTTCAAGAAATTAGAAGATTTTAAAAAATAAAATTATGCTAAAAACCAGAAAAGGCGAGTAGAACAGACTGGTGAAGTACATGAACAAGTCATCAGAAGAATGTTAGCACACAGGTACTTACAAAAAAACACACAGCAGTGGACATAAAGGCTTTAAAAAGACACAGATACTATGCAGGCTAATTCCGTATCAAAGAGCAGAATGCATAGGCTTTATTATAAACTCTGTAATTCATGCATTTGTGTGTGCAGATAAAATATATTTAAAGCCGTCAAGAAGACACCTGAAATCCTCCCCAGCAACATCGGTTGACTTCAGGGAAGAAATAAACCCAGGTTTGTTATTTTTACACACTGGCCTAATCCAAACCCATAATGTGTAAAAGGGAACAAAGTGAAAGAAAGCAACCAGGTGTTTTTCTGAGCCGCTCAGAGACACCAGGACAAAGATCCAAACCCACTTTTTGGTAATCACTGTCCCTGGAATGTAAAGGCAGCAACACCAGCCTGGACGGTTCTCAGCCATGTTTCAGAAAGTGGCTCCAAGAAGAATGATCCAAGGGTTGAGTGGGGAAAAATAGAAATTAACCCTGTAGTACATACATACATACATACATGGCTCTTTTCGGAACAAAATAAGGTAGCGCTACTGAGTATGTGGCAGTATGGAGTGTGCATTAAGATATACAAGTGAAATTTGCTTGGGGCACCTTCACTCAGAGGGATAAGTCTTCTTAAAATATTATAATAATAATAATAATAATATAATACTTCTTTATACTTGCCGCTTGTTAGCAATTGTTTACATCGTAGAAAAATAGATAGTATTCTGTAACAAGAAATATAGTTACTTTGTTAAAATGGGCTATTTTAAACCAGCTACTATTCTTTCATATAAAGAATTTCTAAACAGCAAAACAAAAATAGGTAACACTGAGTGCAAAACAGCCAGTGGTATACTTTGCATTGGTTTGAAACACTAGTTGCCAGCTATTATAATTACACGTTCTGTACACTGTACTACAAAAGTCTTCCGTCTTTTAGAAGCTTCGGGGTTTTTGCTTTTCTTCTCTCTAGGTGGCAAGTAAGTATTTAATCCGAGTAAATTCAAACTCTGGAAGTCAGAAATAATTTCACAGTCTTTGCTACCATTCTCTCGCATTCCTTCCCCCACGTAGTGCAGCAGCACTTTCTACTTATGGCCAAAAATCCCTTAAGTTAAACAAAGTTTAGGCTGTAGGTACTTAGAAGTTTAGCTTACAAATTCACATTCTTTTAAAAATCATTTCACTAATCGTCCACGTTTACGTGTACACCAAAGAGAAAGCTCAAAAGCCTCACTTCATGCATGTCATCATCGCTGCTGAAGACTGAAACCGAGTTCAGATAAAAACTCTTTGCCAACGGTAGGCATAAAGTCTTAACACTACAAAGCCAGATGGTTCCAATGTAGAAGTCAGATTTTTCTGTGGTCTCCGCAACAGTTTCAGATGTGAATAGCTAATTCCTAGTGACAGTGGTAATGGCATTATGAGTACACCATGAACACCATAAATGGAGGCAATTTCCAAGCATCAAAGAACAAAAACAAAAAGCACCCAGAAAAAAATCAGTGAAACATTCTTAGTAGAGCAATAATCTCTATTCTCCTCTCTGTTCATCTCACACCTTTTCGACTTTGGTGGGGTCGTATGTATCTGAAAAAAGACAAAAAAACATTATAAATAATGTAGTGTGAAATCTATTCAATTGTTGCTAGCTGTGGAAATGAGACATCTTTTCTCTAATTTTTATTTTAAAAAGAAGCTAATACTGGACTTAGAGCCTTAAAGATACACAGTACATTCCTGACCCAAATTCTGTATCTACACCAGCATAATTCAGGAGCAGCTTGGATCAAATGCATGCAGATATAATTTGGGAAACCTCGAGTAGGTAGGAACAAGCATGCTGACTGCTAAGTGATTGCTTCTAGTTTTCAGATGCTTTGACAGGGAAAGAAAGATTTGCCCCCCCTTGTACTGAACACTAAGGACAGGTAAATGCTTTAAGCATCCTAGCAGGGTGTCTAAGGCTGGCTGAAGAAGTGAAGATGCCATCCAGTATCAGGGCCTTTTCATTCAATTGAAAATTCAGATTAATTCAACAGAATACAGGAAAGCACAGCTGCGCTGCATGACTACAGTTAGACTGTGTCACCCCAGCCTGCAAAACTGCAGCTCACGTTTTGACCCTTATTCACTAAAGCACTGGACTGGCTTCCTAACATTGGTCTTCATTTTCAGCCAACCTCTTGTCAGTTCACAGGACAGACCACACTTTGTTTTTCTTTGCCTGAAGCCCCGGGGACACTCTTCTATCAGATTTTTTTATTGGATTTATCCCAATGTTGGCCATGAAGTGAGCAGATACAAGCCTTTTTCTCCACCCTTGTGACTCTGGGATAGGATTGCAATGAAAGGACTTTTCCTTGTGAGATCTGCCTGCCCTGTGGCATTGTGCACGCATCTGACTTACCCTCGGATCTTTGGGATGCACAGTCATGGCATGGAGGAACCAGGGCTACCTACAGAGGGTCTGTAGGCAGGCAGGGGCCTGGACAAACCGGCGCTGCAGCCCGTGCTGCTGTGTGCTACTTCCTGGTCTTACACAACCTGAGTATCTGTGCTAAGCTTGAGCATCCCTCCCGTAGGCTGTACTCCCACAGCACTTTTATTTAAATGGTTGAGCATGAAAATAGTTGCACACATAAATATCACACTTTGGAGTAAACCGTTCACCCTCGGGACTTTTATGTTGATGTGAGTGAATGTCTTCATTCAAACAAGCATAAAAATCCTCAGAGGGAGATCATTAGTGCTGTGTGCAAGTGGTCCATCTGCAGCATCCAGACTCCTGTCAAGGGGGGGATGGCTAAGAAAGAACTTCTGGATTCGGCCTCAGTGGGTGGATTCCTGGTGCAGGATCCTTTATCGCTCCACTTGCCCACTCTCCACAAATTGCTAGGACAGCTAAGAGAGGAGTCTGTGCCAGCAACACCTATGTTTTCAGAATTGCTTGTCACTATTCAGCCTCTTCTGGTATTTCCAAACTTTGAGAACAGATAGCACATGAATGCAAAAAAGTCAAGAGGAAAAATGTTTTTGAAAGCTAGTGCACTCTAGGATAACGCTGCATCTTTCTAAGCTTAATGCACTGATGGTGTGGGAAGGTGCCTCTAAAGTAGTAACATTTTTTCAATCTTAAATATTTTGCCATCTAAACTGCTAGAATGTGCAAAAATTCTGGACTGTTCTGTGTGAAGTTGACCTAAGAGTAAAAATGCATTTACATTTCAGAAACCTGATTTTCCTAAAGCCAGACACATTCATGCTAATAGAACTCCCCACAAATTTGCAGGTGCTCACTCTTTCGGGGAGTGGCAGCGGGGAGAAAATCCGGCTACAAGACACGGAGCCTCGGCATGGCTCAATTTATTCCTTGAAAGCTTACCCACGCCCTCAGCGCCTAAACCAAGGACGCAAAAGGGCCAGACTGCCAGGCTACATCGCACTTCTGCGAGGACAAACACTGGAGTTCTAGCGCTGATACAGAAATGTTTACTCAACGTTTGGTTAAGCTCATTTGAAATGCTCTCTACAGAAACAAAGCCCGATCAGCCACCTCGTGGAAGCAGTCTTCAAACAGCAGAGAAAAGACATCCAGTGCATTTGGGAACATTTGGAGATGTTCTTCTAATGGCAGTATTTGCATAGTTACGATGAGTTTCTTGCACTGAGTTTCGGCAGAGCTCTTACTCTGAGATGACTGTTCCTCTGCCAAGCTGCATTATACAGGTGAAAGCCTGTTTCTGCTAAGGCCTCTAGCCCCTGCGACGGGCCCAGCCTGCAATTATAAGACTAACATCACCCTACTTCACTCCAGACGGAATGGCCCTTAGCAATATTAACTCTTTAAAAGCAATGAATGCAATGGTTTTCCAGGATTCTCATTTTGGCTTTAAGTGGTACCAGTGAGCTAGTCTGGAAGTTGGAGTGAGGCTTAACAGAGGAAGACACCACATCAGGCCTTTCTACAAACACGAATCCTCAGTCCTGCCCCATTAAGGTATGGCGAAGATCTTGTGGCTGTCAACAAATCCAGGTCTCCCTGGATGGGAAGAGGCCAGCGGAGGAGCCGCCTTCCCGCCCCGCGGGCGTGTGTCACCCTGCAGCACTGGGTGTGCGCAGCGGGAAGGGACATCCGCGCTATCCAGACGTGGGCAGGGCTGTTACCTCCACGAGAGAACTGCTGCAATGGGAACACACTGCGGAACACAAGCCTGGCATTGTCAGCAAGAGGGATAAATTTAGACCTAATTTGCTGGAGAATAACTCTCCAATAAAACACACACAATCTGTTTTGATACATCGCTGAACTCATGTCACCACAACAGTTATTTTCCTCACTCCAGCAGAAAACCCAAGGGAGGAAAGCATATGAAATGCATGTGGGGCGTACTAGGCCTGATGGGTACAAGCGAGCTGAATTAGCCTGTTTGGAAAATCTGGTCTAGGGAAATACAGTTCAGAGCAGGAGGAGACACAGAGCTGTGGGATACAGAAAAAGACATGAAGGGAAAGGCTGCAAGACTGCCAGAGCCAATACTTAGAACTCATGCAAGTATTTCTCTTCAGATGGAAATACATAAATCCCCTTTAAAGTATGCTCCATTTAGCTTCAGTCCCTCTGTACTGGAAAACTGTGAACAGATTTATATCGATGAGGTTTAATGAATAACCTGTGCAGATTTCAAGGTAGAGTGTCAGCTGTTTCAGAGAGGATGGAAAAAGGAAGGAGGAGATTAATATTAATTTAACAACATTCACACCATACATTTGCTCACTCCAATTAATTTAATGGACTAGACAGGTGGCCTGGGAGATTTATCCCTTTACACAGATCTATGGCAACAACTGATTTTCAGTTGTTCAACACAAGGCCGTATGAAAACTGTTTCAGAGAGAGAACAGCTCATGTTACTTTGGGGATGCATATGGACTACAAAAGTTTATACGCTTTTGAGAGATGAGGAACACCAAAAAAAAAAAAAAAAAAGGTGTTCACTTGTTCACTGAAAAAGTCAGTTTTCCATTTGACCTGGGGATAAGTTATTCTCAACATCTGATCTGGAAAATATGCATGAGAGAGAGAATTTTCCAGAACATCAGATTTTTATTTTTATTTTCTTCTGAACTCTGATATAGTATGTATCTACTTAAGTATTAGAGAGGGGAAAAAATGGGTAGTCAAGGAGAGGCTATGATTAAATCACCACGTGTTCCCAAACACTGGCACTAGAGTGACTATCTTTGAACTCTGCTGTTTGAAGCTGGCCATTCCCTGAAACAATTAGACAAGAGATGAGACCTCTCGGGAGCGTTCTCCAGTCTCTGTGAATGAGTTTCAGTATCACAACTGAGTTTTCAGTAACTTTTCCTAAAATGGGATCAAAGAACACTCATGTTATCTCTTCCACAAGGAGAGCAAAGGGGGTGGCAAGCAGACGGGGTAGTACCACCTACAGCCCGTTACTATTTGAGCAGCATTATGTGGGCATAAGCAAACCGATCATGCCCATTACATAAGGAAACAGTACCCACTCGGATCTCCCATAATAGGGTCTTACCTAAAGAAAAATCTCTGTCAATCTTCTTCTTGTCCATTCCACCTAAATACCCATTTTCACTGAGAGTGATAACACGCTTGGAAACAGCCCCTGAGCTTGCCAGTTTGCTGTTTCTCTCCTCTTGTACCCTCGACAGCTTCTCCTCGTCCACCTCCTCTCCTGAGTCTGCGCTCTTAATGCTCAGACGTCTCATCCGGGACACAGAGTCAACTTCTTTCATTCGCACTAAGCGATCCATGGCAGTCCGGCTAGGTGGAGAAGTGAGCTTGCCTTGGAGTGTCTCTATCACTTTCGAGGTGCTTCTCACTCTCTTTTCTGAATGCTGGTACACAGCTGACTTGCAAACCAAGCTTTGGTCCTCACCTTGGCTAGGACTTGCAGGTTGTTCAAGAACTCGCTCAGTTACTGGTGTTTTGGCACTGGCTTCCTGGTGAGTGGTCTGGCATTCATCAGGGTATAAAGACCGTCCTCCCGCTCCAACAAAAAGAGCACTCTCTGTCCAGCCACACTTCCGTCTGCCTTCATAAGAACCATCCTTTTTTCCTTCTTTGTCACTTACTGTGCTCCCCACTGATGACTTAAAGTCCTGGGCACCGTTTGCAGGGCTAGTGCCTGGGTGTGGCCCAAGGTGGTCATCCGGAAGGAGAGACTCCACTGCTATATCTATACCTAAAATTCTTGCAGCTCTTGCCTGCAATGACTCATTCACAGGGATTTCCACTGCATTTGCATTTGAAGAGTGATCAGAATTGTTAGCACCAGGTCCTGGGGCTACATCAAGTCCCACTGACCTCAAATCTGGCTCAGAGTGCCCTTGGTTCCTCTTCATGAGTGACAAGCGTACTACCGAGTCTTTCTCTAACACCGTATCATTTGTGGGAGTTGCACCTTTGCTCAGTTTAACAAAGTCTAGGTAATTTTGGTCTTCACTCATCTCCTGCAAGGCAGGGTTATTGAAAGGATTACTGTGACATGAACTGCTTGGGCTACTGGACATAAGTCTCTTGAGAGGGCCCACGCGAACTGGCTGCTTGCTTGTTCTGCTCTTGGCTTCCCCAGTCCTCATTTCTGTTATCAGACTTCCATCTGCTGGCCCGACTCCTTCACTGCTCCCTCCTGGCTGCGAGGAGCCTCGAGAGCCAACGCAGCCCAGCTCGCCACCATACTCTGTCCCCATGCTCCAACTTTCAGACTTACTTTTAACTCTTCCTGACTTAAATACAGGCACCTCTGGCACAACCGTTTCCGATTTCCCACTGTGTTTTGGCTCCTGGTTCAACTTCTCATTTCTGTATGCCCTCCTCTGAGTAAGAGCATCTGCCTGTGGAGAAGCTGCAGCACTTTCCATATCTTCCTCACTGCTTGTGCTCTCCTCCTGCCCTTGCAGCTCCTTGTTAAAGCTTTCTAGCTCACTTATTGCATCCCAGGGACGGCGACTTACAGGCTTCGGCAGGAACTGCCCAAACAGCTCTTTGCTGTTGCAGGGAGCACCTGCTTCTCCTTTAACTACATCCCCCTTGGAAAGGAGGCCGGTTTCCCTCTCCTGAGCAGGCACAGGCTGGCTCTGGTGAGCTTTTGGGGAGGGGGCCTGCAGGACTGAGGTGGCAGTCCTGGAAAATGCACTGTTGCTAGATGGGCTGAGGTACATCTGACCCTTCATACCACAAGCGCCCTGTCTGCAGCTTCTCTCATCAGAAGGTAACCCTGTCCATTTTGACCCTATCATGGATGCTGTACGTCCTAGCTTCGGAGACAGCAGTTTGTTACTACTGGGCTGCCCAGGCTTTGTACCATGGAAGAGTCGTGGGCTTTTAGGTTCTTCAGCGAAACTGGTCTGTGTCTGCTGGTCTTTGTACTGATCACCTGGCCAGGAGCCAGAGTATTTGAGCTCTCTGTGTTTTGTAGGCTGAATAAATCTGAGGTCATTCATTTGTTTGAACTCTTCTGGTCTCCACAGCTCTTGTTTTTGTAACTCATTTTTATTGGTCATGCTTCCTGTAAGCGCTTGTAACTCCAAGTCTGTTGAAGACATACTTAAGAGACTTTGTTCTTGCAAAGCCCCATTGTTATCAAACCCATTCTTATCAGGGCTCTGGGTTATGTTGTTGTTCCTATCTGTATCTGGCAGATTGGATTCTGATTTAACTGGGATAGAGACCAAACAAAATATAGTTTCATTCATTTTTTTCTTTGAACTCTTTTTGCTCTGCATCCCAGTCCCAGGTTCAAACTTTTTCACTTTGGTAACAGTCTCACAGGTGCTGTCCATATGTGAATTTCTTACAGAAAGTTTGCCTTTTGTGTACTCTGGTCTGGCTTCATTACGGGAGCTGTGATTAGTTGTGCTACAGCTGTCTCTTTGGTCCGGCAAGGCACAATTTTCCTGATCTCGGGTGGATGGTGCCAACCATCTGTTGCTATTGGTGGAGCTGTCGGAAGTTCTTTCTTCCTTTGCAGAATTGGACAAGGTTGATGCATCCAAAAAGGCACTGTTGTACTGTACTTCAAGATCTCTCTCTTGCAAAGCACCGGAACTAGGACTACATGCATTTTCAGTGTATTTAGTGTTGTCCTGCAGACCTTCTGGTGGTGCAATTTTAATATGTCGTATCCGAGGGTCATCAAAGGGAATATACTGAACAGAACACAGGTAGTCAGTGGGGCGCCTCGCATGGCTTTGCTTCCCGTGAGGAAGGTGGTTGTCCCCCCCCACTTCAAAAGTATTTGCAGCTGGTCGTTGGCAGGGGACAACCCGCTGTTCAGAACTTTGCTGATCGCTGGTGGCGTATGTGTTGGCATTAGGCACTTCATTGGGGGGACGTGGGGTCACATGTTGGTGAGGTGGGGATTTGTAAGAAGGAGGAGGTACATAGACCGGGGGCTCCAAACCAGAGTCTTGAATGCAAGCATCTTGCCTTGGCTCATTAACTTTGGCTAAGTAGGAGGTGGGTTCATCTTTCTGGTAGTGGTCCTGGAAACCCGCAGTTTCTGTGGATGCCTTTGTCTGCCGCTGCAGTTCATAGGATGGAGGCTTCAGAGGTCTCCCATACTTGGGTTTCACCAGGGGAAGGAAATGGCCGCCTGTTTCATGGTGCTTGGCTGGTTCCACACTCAGTCTGTTTGGGGGATAGGAGGGGGTTTTAGTTACACTGAGCGAGTTGTTACTGTTGGTCAGCGAGGGCATTTCCACGCACCTCATGCTCTCTGGCGAAAGGACCCTCGGCAAGGACTGCGATTTCCCCTTGTTGTGGGTGCTCAGTACGTTGTCTCCCAGGGTCAGTGAATACAGCTCTTGAAGCAGCTTCTCCCTGTCACCCTCAGACATTTGCCTCCCTACCTTTTTTGGCTGGTTCCAGCTTTCCATTCCCAGACTTTGCCATTTGCAGTCACCAGACACTTCGCAGCTTTCCTGCAAGCCGCTTCTCCTGATGCACCCTGCACCCGTCCCAACCTTCAGCTGACTCTCCTTGGGGTGTCGGGGTGTCCCCGGGGCCGCAGCCAGGCCTTTCATTTCCACACCGCCTTTCTGGGAATAGCCCAGGAGCACGCTGAAGTCCTGTCCTCGTCTTCTCCAGTAGGCAAGATCTTTATCAGTCTTGGGCTGGGAAGACCATGCTAATTGAGGCCTGTCATAAACCCTGAAAAAGAAACACAGCGTCACACGGAGTTTGCACAGATGCCCTTTCTTTCCCTCATGGGTAAGGCCATTAGGAGGTCAAATGTTGAGTTATGCCAATGGGGTTTGTGTAATCTATTTGCAACCAGATGACTTTATGATTTTAATGAGAGGATTTAAAAGTCAGTCATTAACATGAGTAAAGTAAGGGACTGATGCTCTGCTGGCATGTTTTTAGCTATGCAAAGCTGTTAGAAAGAGAAACAAATGCACACAGTTACGTGCTGTGCAAACATGCACAGCCCTCCTCGATGGACACCGGAAAACCAGAAATGGTTGTGTTGAACTTATTTCTGCACGCTGCTACATCAAGTTCTATAGACGTCAAGGGGACTACTGTGGTACTAAAGTTTAATAGGAATCCAAAGCTAAAAAGCAGAGGTAGGGAGAACGGGTAGGGGGCTGTTCCGTAAGATATGTTCTGTAAGAAGCATGATTTGCATCCTAGTAGAAGAACGAAATTAAACATGTTATTTCCAGTGTTGATTCTTGTTCATCTTTCAAAGGCAACAAATTTCTTCAAAGTGCTTTGGGTGCAATGATACATGCCACAACAATGGTGATGTATCAGCACGGTTCTGTAAGACTGAACTAGTATTTGAAATCTAAAATACCTCAAAAGAAGTATAACACTGTTAAATAAAAGAGGTATTAACTCCAGCAATCTATTACTGAAATATGAAAGACATTAGACATTTTATTGCGGATTAGAAATTCAGAACATAGATTTACATGAACAGAATAGGTTCTTTGTGTGTTCTGAACAGACTGTGAACTATTTAATATATTACTGCTAATCAAAATTGGTACCTTTCTATATAAATAATTAATCTTCTACTTGAACCGTGTTCTGCTATTCTTGTACCTAAGGTGTCCAACAATATAACTGCCTTTACACTATGTAGCTGCCACCAGCATAAGAGTGGAAAGAAAAATCAAAATTGACAGAAATAGGACAAGTATGTAGATAGAACCCAAGAATTTCTTTCTCTTCTCTCCACCCCAAGGTACATAAATAGTGTCATCTGGCTCCTTTTTGCTAAAAACAATGATCTGTTCAAATAGTAGCTTGTGAAAACATAATACAATTCAAAATGCAGAATGAAAACTAAGCGATCCAGGTCCACAGCAATTTTCTTGTATGTATGTTAATGTCATCCTATGACTGCAAAAGTTTAAAAACCAAACTGGGGTAAGGAGCATCTTGTTCATATTAATTCGACCGGGTTAAGACTTAACATCTGAACAAAATGTTCTGCCTCTGAAGCACAAAGTACAGTTCGATCACTGAACCCCAGGAAGTAACAGACTTCCCCACTAATCAGTGAGATATAACAGGACACCTCCTATATTGGAAAGTTGATTGCTGGCACAACGAACATTTCCATGCCTCTCTGCGTGTGGAAACATGCAGCTGAACAAATGCTGCTGCCTTCTGAAATCATTAAATCTACCTTTTCATCTCATCCCCATGCTGCTATGACACCATTTGTATCTGCGTTTACAAAATGAGGTGAGAAATAGGGTCTAGCAATAGTGAGGAGGGAATGGATGGATTGCTCTTGCTCTTTGATTTTAAACATTATCGTAAAAGAGTCTACAGAAATCGCAGGAAATACAGAGTCACAGATTCCAACATCAGCAGAGACAGTTACGGTTATTTAGTTTGACATCTTGCTCAATGCAGGCCATCAGACTTCCTTGAAATGATTCCTGCTTCAGTGGTAGTGTGCCTTTTAGAAAAGCATCTAAAAATCTTCATCTTTAAATTTCCAGAGATGTTGTTGCAAAGATTAATTCACCATTAAAAAAAAACCCCAAACAAGTAAACCCAAATTCTTACCAACCCAAAACACTGGGGGAAGGAGGTGTGGTAGACGATAATACTGAGATTTGCAACGATTGCAACTAACAGCACAGGAATGGAACGGGCTGGATGTTTAAAGGATTTAATAGGAAATCAGGAACAGGGAAGGAAGCATTACTTGACTCTTTCCTAGGAAGCCACTAAAAGAGAAGAGTTTTGATTAATTTGCTTTTATAAAAACAAACAAAACCCAAGCTCAGACATTCATTAAAGTAAATTAGCCCTAAGTTAGGACAGCTTCAGTTACAGAAAGGATGTCCCTCCGTTTATTAGAAGCTGTTCAAAAGATTAAATTTATTTTTAACGATTAAAAGGTTAATAACTAGGCTCCAGTAATACATTTCTGAACATGATACAAACTACGGTGACCTGTACTATGTTATCATTGCAAGGTGAATATGGAGAAGACATATAAAAGGAGGTATTTAGAATCAGAATCATTTAGGTTGGAAAAGACCTTTAAGATCATCAAGTCCAACCACTAACCTAACACTGCCATCCCGCCACTAAACCATGTGCCTAAGCACCACACCTACCTGTCTTTTAAATATCTCCAGGGATGGGGACTTGTCCACTTCCCCGGGCAGCCTGTTCCTATGCTTGACAACCCTTTTAGTGAAAAAAATTTTCCTAATGTCCAATCTAAACCTTCCCTGGTGCAACTTGAGGCCATTTCCTCTTGTCTTATTGTTTGTTACTGGGGAGAAGAGACCAACACCCACCTCACTACCCCCTCCTGTCAGGCAGTTGTAGAGGGCGATAAGGTCTCCCCTCAGCCTCCTCTTCTCCAGGCTGAACAACCCCAGTTCCCTCAGCCGCTCCCCGTAAGACTTTTGCACCGGACCCCTCACCAGCTTTGTTACTCTCCTCTGGACATGCTCCAGTGGCTCAATGTCCTTCTTGTACTGACGGGCCCCAAACTGAACATAGTATTCAAGGTGCAGCCTCACCAGTGCTGAGTACTGCGGCAAGATTTCTTCCCTGGTCCTGCTGGCCACATTATTCCTGATACAAGCCAGGATGCCATTGGCCGCCTTGGCCACCTGGGCACACTGCTGGCTCATATTCAGCCGGCTGTCAACCAGCACAGTAGAGCATTTCAAACCTGATCTTTTCTATAATCTACTCACAAGGTGGACAATACCAGTCTTTCCAGCTTCTGTCTCAGGTGCTCGAGGTGGTTGCACAGCCAGCCTGTTTCCTGGGCCCTGCAAGCCCCTGGAGAGGACAGCGCTGCACTGTGCAGAGGGTAGAGGGTGCTTCACAGTCTCCCCAGGGACCCTCCAGCTTAGTTCCAGCCTGAGGACTCCTCTGCTCCTACAAATGGGGAGTGGCTCCTGCACACCTGCATGCAGCAGGCATGGCAGGCAGCAAAGCACAACCACACTGCTTGTGGCTGCAAGGCAGCAGAGTGGCTCCTCCCAGGATGTGTGACACTTTTGGGTCTGGCACTCAAATGAAGTGGTGGGAAGGGGAAGCATCCAAGAGCCACCCTGAGTTCCAAATGCTTCACTACAGCCTCAGCAACGCTGCATCTCTGGATGGCGGATGCCAGTCGTGCTGCAGTCTTCACGTCCATAATGTGTTACCAATGAAAAGACGGCACAGTCCCTCTTAGCAGCAGCTTGTCTCCGACCATGCCGCTGCGCAATTCTGCCTCACTCCATGGTGCAGCAGTACTGACTGTATTGGGTTTGCGTGACAAGGTTTTGATAGTGGTGGGGGCTTCTGTGAGAAGCTGCCAGAAGTTTCCCCCATGTCTGACAGGGTCAATACCAGCCAGCTCCAAGGCCAGCCCACCACTGGCCAAATCCCAGCCCATCAGCAATGGTGGTAGCACCTCAGGGATAACATAGTTAAGAAGGAAAAAAAACCTCTGCTGCAGAACAGTAGCTGGAGAGAGAGGAGTCAAAGGATGTGAGAGGAACATCCCTGCAGACCCCCAGGTCCATGCCGCAGGAGGGGCAGGAGGTGCTCCAGGCGCTGGAGCAGAGATTCCCCTGCAGCCCCTGGTGCAGCCCCTGGTGGGGCAGGCTGTCCCCCTGCAGCCCACGGAGGCCCACGGGGGAGAAGATCTCTACCTGCATCCCGGGAAGGACCCCATGCCAGAGCAGGGATTTGATTGGTAATAAATTAAACTAATTTCACCACGTTGAGTCTGTTTTGCCCATGACGGTAACTAGGGAATGATCTCTTCCTGTTCTTATCTCGACCCAGGAGCCTTTTGATATATTTTTCTCTCCTCTGTCCAGCTGAGTAGGGGAGTGATAGAATGGCTTGGTGGGCACCTGGCATCCAGCCCAGGTCAACCCATCACACTGACGCACAAAGAAATGCACGCCCGGATACAGCAGCTTGCAAGTGCTTCACAGCTGGGAGGGGTGCCAAGGATGGAGTGGTCCCGTGGGACCAACCAGGAAGATTGAAGTGCCAGGGACAGAGCAGTCATATGGGACCAAGGAGGTAGCTTTTAACATTATGAACCCTTTTCTAACAGGCCTGCTTCTAACAAATACCACATATGCTGTCAGAAAGTGCTTTGAATTGATTCTGTATAAAATTAAACCAATGAAAACCATTAAACCATTTTAAAAAAATAAAATATTGCTAGCTTTCTATAACTTCTAGGTCTTTGCAAGAAATGGGGCCACCAATCCACCCTGCACTGGCTACATGACTGCATTTCACTGAGCTACCGCTCTCAGAGCAGTGGGTTGAAGCTGCCCAGTTCCCCCAGGGCAACACCGGACCAACAGGACCTTGCACAACCCACAGAATGGGGCTAGAAGTGAAGGAGTGTGGTAGCAATGCCACGGGAGCTCCTGTCCCTGTTTCTGGCTGCCAGCATGCAAGCAGTAGGCACCCAGTGGCTCAGGGTGGGTGAGCCACAGGCACCAGGACAGACTTTGTGCCCAATGAGAAGGCACTGTTAAGAAATTTCAGGATTTGGCAGCAAGGGGGAAAAATTTTCAGAGGGCTGTTCTGGATGCTGGCAGCTTCTGCTCTATTTTGGGATCCTATCCTCACATACACTCTTCCAAGTCTCAACACTGGGAAACACCAGTACACTTCTCTAATTTTTCCAGCAGGTAATCTCATTAATGATGCTATCTATTTTTCTCTAAGTTAGCTACCCACATAGTTCCTCCCACACAAATAGCTAAGCAAAGTGCCTCTTCTCTCCACTCAGCAGAAAAGCTGGAGGGAGTCCTCCTTCTGTGAATCCTCTCATCTCTACCCATAGGGTCAGCTTTCCCATTTTCTTTGTCTCCTCTTCCAAACCTGTACTGTGTGGCCTCCTGATGCTCAGTTAAGCAAGGGCGGCCAGGACAGCCCTCCCACCATCTGCTCCCCCACGCTTTGCCTGAAGAACAACGTGATGGAGCAAAACATCACTTCCCCCTTGCAAGCAGCAACGGTGGGCGGTGCGATGTGCCCACATGCAGTTGCTATGAAGCCTCTCTCCTCCTCCTCAGCGAGGATTGATCAGCAGAACAATCCAAATGAGTGGAGACAACAGCATCGTACCCTGTCGTCATGAAACACCCTGAGCCCTGCAAACCTGTCTGAGAAGGCAGCAATGAGGTGGGCAATGTCAGTCACTTCTGTGGTGTTTGGAGGGTGATTATTAGTTCTTCTTCATCGGTGGTATGAGCATGAGTGTGGCATGGATAACTCCTCCTCTGAGGAGCCCGAGTCATGCTCCAAATTGCTGTGGAGCTGGTCAGGGTCTGTGGAGGTAGTCAGGACACAGACTGCCTCTTCTGGCCTTCTCCTGCCACTGTGCTGCACTGGGAAGGCAGCGTCAGGAGATGGCTGCAGGAAGCCTGTGGTGCCCAAAGAGCAGTGTCTGCGTGCTGGACCTTGCTGGGTAGTTGTCCCCTCTTCAGGCCCAAATGGTCTCCAGGTCTCTGCAGTCTGCAGTTCTGTCCCGGCCTGAGAACCAGGAATCTATTTCCTGAGACGTTCCAGAAACCAGAGAGCCAGATCAAAATTCCCGGTGGAGCTCACTATGGCCCACCTGTAACAGGCCAAAACACCCCGAAGTGGGCCACTGCAAAAATCTTCTCTTCAGTTTTAAAACAGGTCACACTTGCTGGGCAGCCCCGTCCCTCGGATGCTTCCCCAGGGCAGGGGAGGGGGCCTGGAGGGGGACTGTCACCTGGCAGCTCAGCAGCCGAAACGCGGGTGCTGCGGCACTGGGGCC